GGATTTCTTTTCCTTGGGAATGGTATAACATCTTTATAGCATGGTGATAAGTAATACACACCTGCTGTGATTGTTCTGTCACAACTTCATCATGCTACTTTAAAATGATTTGTGGTTACATTTCATACTCTAGTACCTTTCATGCACTATATGGCTAAATCATAATAGATTACTAAGTCAATATATTTATATTGACAGAACCTGAAGAAACATTGATTTTACACCTTCTCCTATTAGCTTATAATGAACTTTCTACCCAGTTCTACTGAGCAGACAGATTCTAGGGGAGAGATTTTGCAGGGAACAATGGTAGTAACTATCAGAAAAGATGCTTATTGTTTTCATTAGTTACGGTGGCAATGACAAAGGGGAGTCCAAACAGAAGGCAGACATGCTCTGGCTAAAAAGAGCAGGATGGCATAAAGGAAAGCATCAGATGGTAAAACTGTCCATATTCCAATCTATTTATTGCCATTAAATATGCTTTGATTATTATTATTGCAAAGGTTCAAACTGGGGATGACTAGTAATAAATGAATGTTAATTTAACGTGTAATAGAATGTTCCCCAAACTCTACACATGAAGACTGTAATTCCATTAAGAGGACTCTTGTGACATAAGCCATGTCAGCAAAGCTCAAGTGACTTGTCAGTGTCATCAGACCCTGAAGATGGAATTGCAACCTTAATTTATGAGTACTCAGGGATTTTTAACTGAAAATCTGTGGTCTCCCTGAAATCCGCAAGATATGCCAAGATGTTACAAAGTAAATAATTGTTGCTTGGACTTCTAAAAGGTAGAAGTGTTGCTGGAAAGCAATAAAGGCAGAACTCTGTTAATATTGTTTAGAAAAGTGTTTTTAGCATAAAGATACCTACAGCAATTAAAAACCTAGTTTCTCATTCATGCATTGCACGAACCTGAGTGGCAGATGACTTGATGCCTGCAGTAAGAGGCAAGAAATTCAGAAATATTCCTGGTGCCAACTTAATAAAAACACATTTCAACTGAAGAATGCAGTTTATTTCTTGTTGCTCGCTGCTGGAGTGAGCTAGTTCTCCTTGGAGGCCAGCGACTTCATGTTCAGAAATGCTGAACTTAAGAATCAGCTCACAGAGTTACAAGTGCCCAGAAACTTTGTGTCTTTAAAATTTTTCACTACTTCAGTAGTTAGATAGATTCTAAAAAAAAAAAAGCCAACAGATTTCTTATTTTCCACTTTCACATGGAGAAAGACACGATGAGTGATTGCCAAGTTGGCATAATTATCGAGAAGGCATTTCCTTACAATCTGTGAGTTATACCTCTGGAAGAAAGTGCCTCCATGAAAGACCTTTCAAAATATGATAGAGTCGAACAAACCTGACCTCCTAATGTAAAATAAATCCTGCTTGATGGGGTTAGTTCTCATTATATCCCACATTCCCCTCTCAGCCAAGACATTTGTTCCAACAAAACCACTGTTCAGTCATTTAATATACCAGTCCCAGAGAAGTATGGGAAGCTTTGCCATGGGACTCTTGTTCTCTGCTGTATGAATAAAGGAACTATGTTTCTAGGAGGATATACAGTAACACTAAGTGCATTTTTGAGTTAAGGGTTGAATTTTGAAACATTTTACTACAAGGACTAAAATCAAAATATTATATGTACTGTTGCCTAGGTGGTAACAACTTGATAAAAACTTCAATCAAAGAAAGAAACTAGAAAAACACTGAAGAGAATATAACCTTCTCATCATAAAAACTCTGTGAGGACAATAGCACTGCATCTGGCTCAATGCTAGAACCAACAGAAGATACATATGTTGAGTAGTACTATCAACGTTACTGCATAGGGCTTTCTGGTAAGGAGACAATAAATAACTTTTCCTGTTGCAAATATGTACTTTGAAAACACATGAAAACTGTGATATAGATAAAATACAGACATTTCCCCCAAATGAAACACAGACCAAATCAAAGCCTATCCAGTTCAGTATCCTATTTCCTACATATGGGAAGGAAAATGAAATGACTCCATGAAGAAGGAGACCACAGTATGTAAGACTAGAATCAGCTGTGTATCTAGACTGTTATGACTCCCAAATCTCCCATCTGGACTAAAATCAGGAAAATCTGTTCTCTGAGGAGAATAAATGAACAATTTATTATTTATGGAGTGACAGAGGAGAACTAACGTATCTCAGAAGCTAATGGAAGAACCATGGATATTCCAAAGCTCATGTTGCTTTGTGAGTCATAGCAGACAGAAATATGGTGCAACAAGAACCTAAGCTCACATACCAATACTCAGGTAAGCGTCTCACCACAATGAGATTTCAGACAGATGTGCAACTGCTCAGCCAACTTCCACTACAGAGGGAAAAACAGCTGTGGTCCTTTCTTTCCCTGGTAACGAGGGAGAACTGTACAGCGCTACCACTGGACTGCACTGCGCTTGTGCTCTGTACAAAAAGCATCTGATGCCTCAGTGCTATTTGTGGGAGAACTGAGGAAGACAATATATGTCCATAAACAGTGATGCATGATCTTTGTGAAGATCACCCCAAATATACTGAAGCTTTCTGTATCCAGACACGTTGTCTCAAAAGAACAACAAAGGAGAATTAATCTTTTAGAAGACCTATTTTCTTTCCAATTGGGTTTGGCATTTTACACATCATTTTTCCCCTTGGAGAAAGGAATCTCACAACTGATTCAAGACCAGCCTGACAGGATGTGCCCAAACTCCTTACACTGCTGGTGGAAGGTAGCAGTTTGGAATAGAATCTGAGGTGGCTTATATCAGGCTTTCCATTCAGGACTAGGGAAGTGATTGTCCCCCTGTACTCTGCACTGGTGAGGCCGCACCTCAAGTACTGTGTTCAGTTTTGGGCCCCTCACTACAAGAAAAACTTTGAGGTGCTGGAGTGTGTCTAGAGAAGGGCATTGAAGCTGGTGAAAGGTCTGTCTGGAGCACAAGTCTTATGAGGAGCAGCTGAGGGAACTGGGGTTGTTTAGTTTGGAGGAGGCTCAGGGGGGACCTTATCACTCTCTACAACTACCTGAAAGGAGGTTGCAGCAAGGTCAGCACTGGTCTCTTCTCCCAAGTCACAAGCAATAGGACAAGAATAAATACCCTCAAGTTGTGCCAGGGGAGGTTTAGATTGGATATCAGGAAAAATTTCTTCACCAAAAGGATTATGAAGCATTGGAACAGGCTGCCCAGGGAAGTGGTGGAGTCACCATTCCTGGAGGCATTTAAAAGACGTGTAGATGTGGTGCTTAGGGACATGGTGTAGTGGTGGACTTGGCAGTGTTAGGTTAATGGTTGGACATGATGATCTCAGAGGTCTTTTCCAACCTGCACAACTCTCTGATTCTAAGATTTTATGTTCTGAATAACTACTCAAGTCAACATTTTAGCCCTTCTACAGAAAAACAGCAGCTATAGCAGTACCAAGGAAAGGGATATAATTTAAAGAGGAAGGGTTATGAGAGACCAGGAAGTTCTTAAAGCCTAATTATTTAGTTGCAATAGTCTTCCTGCAGCTAAACTAGGAAAGAACAAAAGTAGGATTATTAAAAAAAAGAAGTCCTGATTTCAAAATGCCTAAAATCTGACAAACTGAGAATACCACCTAA